CCCCCCCCCCCCCCCCCCCCTTCAAAAAAAATAGAAACACCCAAATTATGGTTGTCATCCCATAAACGATAAGAAAAATGCACTACAGGCTAAAATTATGATTAAACAATTGAGAAATTTCCCAAACAGCCAAGAAAACCCAAAAGACGGAATTTGACCACCAATATTTGGGTTTGCATTGGATCAAATTTCCATGGAACTTTGATCTTGCAGTGAAAGAGTTTGTGGAAGCTTGCTTTCCGTTTAATTTCCCTATAAATTTAGTAGCATCCAATTGCAATCCTGAAACTCCAATCCCATGCATTCCAACACAAGTAAGTCCACTTGGTGCACTTAGTTGCTAACACTTGATTGATTTGCGGAAGACTTCAAATATAAATGGACAACATAAAAGAACTAATTGACCAAGAAAACTGGAAACTGAGGGAGACCCAGTACGTCATACAGTAAGAGTTGGAAAGGGTATGTTTGCATAGTCGCTTAGAGTAAAGGATAAGTACCTCCATGACCAAGAAAAGATGATCTGAAAGGTGGGACCCTCACTGCAACTACCTTGTTACAGGAGGGAGAATGTAACGAGGCTGAGGGTGTTGAAGCCAAGCTTATGCCCGTCAAGGGTGCTCTTACGGCCATCTTCACTACAATGATATCGCTACTAGTGTATACCCACACACACACAAACTTAAGGATCGATTAATGGTCAGAGAATTTTCTGTAGTGGGCTAGAGGGTTTTTTGTCTGCTTCCGGTTCCGTTTGTGGTGAGGGACGATGTGCTCTGTAGGTAGTTCGCAAACTTTACCCTTTAGGGCCGGGGGGGGAGCGGGTTTGGTTGGTAACATTGGTTGGGACTAAACCATGTTTGATCCATGCGTTTGAAATTCGTTCCGATCACGAAATTCTTGTTCATGGGTTTCATAAAATTCATGAGTGAGTTTCACGCGTAGATTTGAGAGTTTCACATTTAAATGAAATTTATATCTCTTATATATTTATATTTATGTTTGGATTAAATTAATTAAATGACACAATAATTATTTAAATACAAATATATTATCATAATAATCATATATCTCTGTGCATACTAAACATGGATGTGGACAGTATTGAATAGAGAAACCCTTTTTTGAATCCCATCTTTGGTCAAACTCAAGTTTTGATAAGTCAATCGAAACCCTTCCCAAAAAATATATCAAACAAGTCCTTAGGTATGTTTCGATAGTAAAGATGGAGTGGATATCTAAAATGTGTTTTTTATTCGATCCAAAATCACTCAAATCTAATTATTATTTTAATTGGATAGATTATATATATTTTATAAGGCTCATAGATAAGAGTCCTAATTTATTTTCATCGACTATTATACTCGTATTATATTTAATTTAACATCATGTTTGATTTATAAATTAACCACCAATTCATTCTAAACAAAAAAAAAATACACTTTCACATCTATTTTTTTAATTGCTTAAATATATTATAATCATAAAAAATATACATCATCAACCATTCAAATTAACAACATAAAATGTTTAAAAAATGAAGTAAGGAGATCTCTTGACTTAGGGGTGGGCATATTCATAAATCGCTTTACATATTCCGTCTAATAAAAAACAATCTTAGCCTCTCTTGAGTTTCATTTAACCCATGGAGGTGGATTAAAGTTGATTTTTTAAATCAGGACAGAATAAAATTCAAATGGGATTTCCTATGTATTTTTTACTTACCAAATGTGGGATATATGAGCCCGACATACTTCTTTATTCTACTCTATCATAGTTATCCACCTTTAACCTGCGATCTAAATATACTAACTGATGATGCACAAAACAGACTTATGCACAATCAACAGTCGATTGTATAAGGTAGAGTAATTAATGAACAATTAATAAAGCAATCAATAGTGAAAGGCAAATACTGAATCAACACATATGTATAGTGGTTCGGTCAGGGGGACCTATTTCACTTCGAAAGCGGCGAAGGTGGCCGGAGAACCTTTATTAATAAAGTAAGGTGAGAGAGAGCGCTCTAAAAAAGGTATGGTAACTATGAGAGAGCTAGTTATGTAGATGTGTGTAGAGAGATGCCCTCTCTCATGTGGAGAAAGATTACAATTTATAGGCACAAAGTCTTAATTGAGGGAGTGACATGAGAGTAAATGCACTAGTTCTTCAGGGAGAATAACTACAAGTAAGGATAAATACAATTAAATATTGTCTTGATCTTTGAGAGTGGTTATCTCGATGATTGCTCCACATGTGCGATAATCTTCTTGGACTTCTTGAATTATGGACTGGGTCAGATCGATAAATTGGACTTGACCTGCCTTGTTGCTAATTTGGGCTCACCTCATTAACTGGGCTTGATCCAATAGGATCAGGCCTCGTCATTTGCCTTCATGCCCCAATTCCTTGCTATGTCATGGAATTTGAGGGCATGAGTGAGCTCTTATCTAAAAAAGGGTTTCTTGTCCCGCAAGGTGGTAGCTTTTTTAACCTCTTGCTCTATTTGCACCTTAAGAGCTCGTTTTCTTGTTCTTCCTTATTTTTCTTGCTTCTTCTTGCTTCGCCACTAGATGTTTACGATGCACTCAAATGAGATTTCAACCTTCCATATTTAAAGCCTCTTTTTCTTTATTTTGGGCACACTTTCTAGGGCTTTAAGAGGTCAACTTTCACTGAGCCCCTTTTTCTTTTTTATTTTATTGTAAACTTGTCCCTTGAGAGTTGCAAATCTTTCACTAAAAATTGTGAGAGATTGACAAATAGGAATCCCATGGATGGTATTGTAAGAGAAAACCCATCGAAGAAGTAGGAGGAGTGACCCAAGGAGCAAATCATAAAGTGGCACAGTAGCTAGGAAATGGAGGGGAGCTAAGTAATGTCAGTGCATTGAATCAGCTTTTGGACTACGCCAGCGAGGTGCTAGGNAGTAGGAGGAGTGACCCAAGGAGCAAATCATAAAGTGGCACAGTAGCTAGGAAATGGAGGGGATCTAAGTAATGTCAGTGCATTGAATCAGCTTTTGGACTACGCCAGCGAGGTGCTAGGCAATGCTAACATCCTCGACTTGGGCAAAACTCTTAGTGGTGGCATCAACACTTCCCAGCGCGAAGAGGTCAACACCCAATCGACTGGGACACCTAGGAGAGCAAAGAAGGCAGCGCAAATCTGTGCATGGAAAATGATTCCTAGAATTAGGATGGCCAAGGTAGGGGCGTCGCCGTCAATAAGCTGGGTACGAGCAACGCTAGCTGGTTGTTTAGTACAAGAAGGCAATTGGGCGGCGATGGCGGCGTCAAGCACACTCCAAGCGGCGCCTATAAGGATGGTGTGGCTAGTAGCACCCATGGCGCGTCTAGAGGTGTCATCTGTGAGGGAGGCGGTCAGCACGTGGAAGACAACGCCGGAGAGGCCCAAGGCGCAGGGTTTGGTGGCGATGCCCTTGCAGAAAATAGTTTAGGTGGCATCCAAGGTGTAGTTAGAGACTCATTTTGCAAGGCTGGAGCTAACAACGCCTTAGTGGTTGGGCCTCGGGATGCCTCAATAGCTGGACTTGGCGACTTTGCTAGCGTGACAAAGAGCTTTGGAGCAGGAGACGTCGGTGAATTCTGGGTAGGCGATGCCACAAGGAAGAAGGCCTGCGTCAATGCTGGGATGCACTATCATGGTTGGCAGCATGCAACACCTTAGGCATTAGTGGGGAAGAAAGTAGCTGACAACGCCCTGGCTTAGGCGATACAGGGGGCTGGCGCGAGCTTAGGTTGGGCAACGCCTTGTAGGCATAGGCATAGGCTGGGGCGACGCTTTGTAGGCGCAAGCGTTAGGCTGGGAGATGTAGGCAAGCACTAAGCTGAGAGATGCAGGTAGGCACTGGGCACTGGCAAAGCTAGGAGAAGGAAGTGCACACTGGGGTGCCGGCCAGAGTATCAGAAAACCATGAAAAATGGAAAAAAAAATTTTTGAGGCAAATTTGTTTTTGAATCTGGGTATTTGTTTTGAGATTTACAACATACAANGGAAATTTTTTTTTTGAGGCAAATTTGTTTTTGAATCTGGGTATTTGTTTTGAGATTTACAACATACAACCCACCAAAGGCGGTTTGGGCAACAAATTTCTCTAAAAAATGCTTCTTTCTCACAGAATTTGAGTTTTAAATACAAATTGGTGAAAATTGACAGCGGTGGGAAATTGCTCTTTGGTAGGTAGCTGTCAGGCATTCATGGGCGGTGGGTTGGTGTTCTGTGTTTTGCCAAAGAGGGAGATTATGATGGCTTTCAGCTAGGTGGGAGGCAAACCCCTTTTCTCCAATCCTGTTTTCTCCTTAACGTTTTCTTGATGTTGGTTCTTTATATTGACCTTGTTTCTAATCTTAGGCGCCCTGTTGATGGAGTGATGGTTGAGGATCTCTATGCTTTCCGGGTTGCGTCTTTCTCTCCTCCCAAGAGGGCGAAGGGCGATGCCCCCAATGTCTCTTGAAGGTAAGAGGGCCATGTTATAATCCCGGGAAGTTAGATTAGATGGTGCCCCCACTGTTTCTTAGTACACAGTTCCTTCGAGTGTTGGGTCAGTTCGGCCAATACTTCGAGAGTTGAGACTCTTGTGCGGCCTTCCGTCAAGACTGGAGCTCCACATTGTGGTTCAATGTCCATGCTATTTTTTCTTGCCTTTTTTCAAGAATGATAAAGCTTGGAGAGGCATCCAGGGATCTGGTAGAAGAGAGGTAGACACAAGTGACTGCTGAGGAGAATTTGGCAAGCACAATAAACTCAATGGTCCAATGTCGATCCTCAGGGAATTGATTTGAAGTTTGGAAGTTAAAAAAAAAGAACAATTTAAGAGAATTTGGGTTTGAGTAATTCGAACAGATTTAAAGGAATTTGCTATGAAAGANTGGTCCAATGTCGATCCTCAGGGAATTGATTTGAAGTTTGGAAGTTAAAAAAAAAGAACAATTCAAGAGAATTTGGGTTTGAGTAATTCGAACAGATTTAAAGGAATTTGCTATGAAAGAAGGCTATTATCTAGCTTCGGGATTAGGTATTAGTCATGTAAATTAAATATCTTATTCATGCAATTATATTGACTTTATCTTAGTTGACTTCCAACATCAGTGTAATCAACCAAAAAATAAAGATTTGAAAACCAAAGTTTGATTAAAAAAATAGGAATTTTGAGTTTGAACGGTGCTACGTATTGTCAAGTGACCATTTGGACGAAACTCATGTGTTCCAATGGTGAAAACTCTTTGAAAATTGGTCCTTGGCTTGAGCGTTTGAACAGTGGAGCTCCGTTCGAATGAAGCAAGTCTGTATAGTAAGTAGTATTCGAACGGGTCCCAACCATTCGAACGTTTGGTTTTCACTGTTTCTTTTAATGTTCCCTCAATATTGTCCTTCCATTTGAATGGTTGGGGCCCATTCGAACAGTACTCCTCATTCAACGTCTTTGAATTTTCCTCCAAATTCTTCAGAGGTCAATGGTCCTTTATTGCACTTTGCTCACCCTTGACTTTACTTTATTCTCCTTTTGATTAGTGATTTCACCAAATCACTTATGTTACCTCATTTTACCTGAAAATGAACAAAATATCATATATCACTTAAAGACATAATATCAAATAATAATTAATCTAATAGCTTAAAAATAATGTAATTCATCACAAATAATTGATAAAGAAATAACACTTTTCATGACAAATCACTTAAGTTCCCTTCAGACCTATATCGCAGAGTGTTTAGACATGTTTCTTACCTTGAGCCATTTGAAAGTTTCATATCATTCTGTTTACACCCAAATATCAAAATTTGATAGCGACATGTGGCAAAGATCCAACAGTCAAAAAGAGCCCAGATACAACAACACGATTAAGGGAATAGGACTCCATAAATCTAGGGAAATGAGGGAGTGGACTCTAGGCATGTGCAGGGACATATGTTGTGTACCTATGGTCTTTTCCCTAGGCTACCTTTTATAATGCCTTTGAATAGATAGCTAAGAGTCCTCGCATTCGTGGAGTCTGCCTTTCCTTATCCTTGCAGGACTCCTCTAAGGGTTGGAGTCTACTCTTTTGAATGGTGGGAAAGACTCCTCCTTATGGGGGAGTCTTTTGAATGTCAAATAAGCTGGTAAGGGATATTCGCCTTTTAGGTTGTTTTCCCTTCATATGAGCTACTAATCTTGTCTTGAATTTGTTTTTTTTCAAACAACGGATAGCCTAGTTCATAAGTCCCCTTTCACGTGCCAGCTAAATGGGGAAGGCTATTTACTAGGATTGGAATAGCTCTAAGCTCTCTTTGTGCTCCTAGAGCTTAGTAGGTCTTCCAACGGTAATTTGTTTAGTGCTGGAGCATCCCTAGAGCTTTCCTAATGTTGCAATTAATTTTTTCCCACATCAATTGCCCCTATCTAGTTTACCTAAAGTGGCTAGATTGTGGATCGTGCTTCCCATTGTCTTTTGTTTGTTATTTCCTTGGTTTTCAAAAACTAATTACATGCGTACATCCCTTCGATTTAAATGAGGTGGTTTCTTGTAACCACTATTCCTCGGGCTATTTAAACCCTTCGAAGGTTTGGTTGAAAGTTCTTGAGACCTCTGTTTCTTGCGATTTTGATTCTCTCCTTCATCTCTAAAAATCTTGAAGGCAATCTAGAATGCCTTGCTTGGGTTATTCCTTTTTAATTTGTTTACTATAGATTTTTCTTTCTTTCTCGAAGATCGTCTTTAAGGGATTTGGTTTTCTTCTTGAATTCCCAATATATTATGCTCCTCGTAACTGTTGTCGATTCTTGCTTGGACTTTGTTCATTCTTCATCCTAGACTTCTCCTTCATTCTACGTTCTCTATAACTGCCTCTTTCCCACGACCTCTGAAAAAATTTTGTCTGATCTAGAACTTCCATTGGTTCAAGAAGAAAACTAATTTCTTCGAGTAGGGTCCTTTAGCGGAGGCTTTTGCTGCACTTGAATTCTACGCAAAGGGGGTGCATAGCAGCATCACTGAAAAGGATCTTGTGATAATTCATGCCCAGTTATCAATTCCTAATTCTGTGCTGTTAAGGGTCCCTTCTAATGACAAAAGTTCTTGCGACTAACATGAGGGTGAGGTATGTTTTTATGAAATCGTTTTGACTACAGGCCTCAGGTTACCAATTCATCCTTACATTCACAACTTCTCATCTTTCTTGAACATCGCCTCTACCCAATTTACTCCTAATATGTCACATCCCATCCCAAAAGACCTATTTAACTTTCTCTTGGATGATATGGACATGATAACCTGTATACTTAGATTCAACCATGCGCAACTATAATAGTATAACTGACCATTTGTTACATAACCGACAAAAATATCCGATANCCGTATACTTAGATTCCACCATGCGCAACTATAATAGTATAACTGACCATTTGTTACATAACCGAAAAAAATATCCGATAGAGTACACAATAGGGGAATGCTAGGGATTTTACCCTTTACAANCTGTATACTTAGATTCAACCATGCGCAACTATAATAGTATAACTGACCATTTGTTACATAACCGACAAAAATATCCGATAGAGTACACAATAGGGGAATGCTAGGGATTTTACCCTTTACAACAACAGGAAACACACATTATTGTACCATATGTACATGCTTAGTTTCTTTAATCTCCCTTCTCTACTTAGTTAGTTTTGTAGTGGACTTAACTCTAAAATCTAGCTTCTTGAAACCAAAACCAAATAAATTCTCATTATACTGTGCATCATAATAAATTGAAATATAAAAAATATGGATCAAATATCATTTCACCAAAATATGTTCATCATCTGAGGAGAATGATAAAATCAAAGTGTGTTTCAATTCACTTTGAAATCTCAATTCACTGTCAAACATTACCATACTAAATAGACCACATGTGTCATGAGTCAACAATAATATTTAAGCAATGTCAAACTATCTTTAACATTTAAGCAATGTCAAGCTGTCTCACGACAATTGCAAAGTGTCAACTTCAACAATATGTAAGTCATGTCAAACTAGACAACAACTTTGGCAACAGTGAGTAATTGTAAACTCCTATATATTTATAATAATGGACATTGTATACCATGTGTTGTATGAATATAAAATGGCTTAAAATAGGGATATAGACTGTATTAAAGTTATTTTGAATCTTAGGAAGCATCTTTGGGAGAAGTTAAGAACATAATAACTAGATACTATCTTAATATTTTACCCATAACATCTCTTCTTTAAAGACCAACCATTTGTGGGCCACCCCTGAGGAACACTCAAGCAGTGGGATAATCAACCATGATTAAGCCTCCACCACATAAGCATCCACAATAGAAGAACTCGGTAGTTGTAGTACCAAGAGGTAACAACCAGGGTCAGATGTTAGCTTTAACCCAGTAAGTTGAAGATGTTTCCAATGTTGTGGTAGAGAGTATTGTTCTTTTGTATAACTCTTGAGTACGTATTTTATTTGATCCCTATGCCACACACTCTTTTGTACACACTACTTATACTCTGGCATTGGGTTTAGAATCTGATAATAGGGAAAATTCCTTGAACGTTGATTTACCTATGGGGGAACAATTAGGTACATAGGAAGTGTGTAAAGGTTATGTGCTCCAGATAGGGGAGCAAGAGTTGAGGGTCGATTTAGTTGCACTTGACA